TTTCCCTAAAAGTGCGTCAGTATGATCACCATTCATCACTGTAGCGAGCCTGTGAAGTTTGCGGAACACCCTTTGCCCGAGGGGAAAGGAAGGCAATTCCCTTTTTGCAAAGCCTTCCGGAAGAAGTCTGATCATCAGGTCTTGAAGTCGACTTGGTGTTAGGTTGATGTCTCTAGGGGGATCCACTCGGCAACAGCCCTGAGCAACGGTCATCGCAAATTCGCGTGACGTATCGGCTCTTACCTGGTCTTCGATTCCTTGGCATAAATACCGGAATCCCTTATCTCCGTTCGGAACTTACAGAGTTTAGAACGCTTAATTCCCAGAGCACTTATCGGATTTTCTCAAAAACTTCAAGACTCTTACATATCCAATCTTCCTAGGACACTGGAGTAGGCATGCTCTCAATCTACTTCCAACCTCAGGTCCTACTTTGTTCTTTCAACAGGAATCGATTTACTTCTACGAGTTATAGCAACTTCCTTAACAAATCTAATTCGCCTCTCTAATAGGATAAATCACTCGCGAGAAAAGAAGCATTATGAACTCCCGCTGATAGGAAGCAGGGGAGCTCTCGGGAGGTGTTTTTTCGGGTGTGGCTTGTAATTGACACGTAACACAATCGGTCAGTGTTGACATAGCCCCAAAACTAGACACACTACCTTCCGTGCCCCCTAAACGGCTGCTTTACATCGTTATCTCCATTCTTTCTCTTGAAGGACTAAGCTAATCCAACAATCAAAAACTCCACCTGCAGCTGCTGGCCTCATCGGACTTCTTAGGAGCTTTTACTGATCTTTGTGCTGGTGCCTACCTAATGCGTGTCCCATTTCCTGCCGTAAATCTTTGAGATTACTCTGTAATCGCCGAATGAGAGCTGAGCTCACTAAGATGTGACGGCATCTTTTCGCTGCGTTTATACTCTTCTACTCGAATGCAGCATAAGAAAGCAAAATAAAAGATCCATTAGTTTTTGCAAAGTATACCTCGCATATTCCAGAGTCCAGTGTCGGTTCGAGGGTCGATACGCTCTCGAATCGTCATAGCAACCGCCGGGTTTTCCACCTCTCTCAACAATTATGACCAAACAAACACCCATGCACACACCGTGGGCAATGACTGATTGTTATTACTGGTCATATCAAGCGTCGTACTTTGTCTTTATTTCCGCCCTTGTTAACCACCTACGATTCGAGCCCGTCCGTAGTCGATGCTTGAAGATCGCTCATCGCTAACAACGTACTCGACACTCACTTGAGTGAAGCTCCCGCCTCCGCCCTCACACTCCCTTCCTCACTCTGGCAAACAGCTCACAGTTCTCGAAAAGCGCGCAGCCCTTTGTTGGCCAACACACCCTTTTTTCGTACTTCCCNCCCGTCCCCCTACACAGCATCACACCAAGAATTCGGCGCTGTTATCGTAAGCACAAGCGACGCCTGAGCTTGAGAGGGATTACTCGGGAATTGCATTAAAGTAATCCACCCTCGCCAGCATTTCGACTTCAACCACTAAAACACGCCCACAAAAACGATTCAAAAGGCATCACATTCGCCTTCTCGTTCTTCTCATTTGACACTTTCACGATTGTCTGTAATTGTCGAGTTTCGCTTCAATGATGGCGTTACTGCTATTTGTTGCCCTCTTTACTATTCTCGGAAAGGCTTATTGTCTTTTTGAAAGTTTTCCGCTTCTGCAGTCGGGCTTTTGAGATTCATTTATGCGAGAATATTGAGAACTTCGGGATAAGGCATACTGAGGTTAACTATCATATTACTTTGTGGGGCTAAGAAAAAAGCTGATGCCCAAGTCTTAGATTCTTACCATTAGGGAAGCCATTGTAATCATACTCATTTAACAGAAATGGAAGTCCCATTACGAGAGGAATCTTTCCCCATAAAGTGCAACAATTTTATCGGGAAAAGGAAGCCTACTTTCTTTTCGGTTTTTTATTTGCATATTTGACGCCACGCTTCGGTACCTTCTCAGTAGCCAACTGTACAATGATAGGGTCCACCGTTTCCGGCATACGAGCGCATTCGAAAGTTGCTCTATTCAGAGCTACCGTAGCCATCAGTCCTTTAGCACGGACCTCAGCATTTCGAATGCCTCCGAGCAATTTTTCATTAATGTTCCGCTAATGCAATTCGGGCTGCTCTTATGAAGGCTTTTCGAAAGGAATTAATACAATGAAAAACTGTTTGACTTGCAGAATATATGGGAACGCACTTCGCTTTGATACCGTTCTGAACAATTTTATCTTCGCGTTTTGAACACTTTTCAGAGCTCTTTCATAAATTTCCTAAGAAAAACTATTGTTACTGTATTGTTTGACTTGCGCTTTTCACTGTCTTTCAGCTCGGAACGTCGTTCTCCAAAATACAGTTCACGTCTACAGCCTGGGCCATATGTTTGGGATTTCTTCGAGGAAACACCCCACATTAAGGACTTTTTCTCAGCTCCAAAGTTGTTTAATTCGTCCTAGGTGCACTTAACTTGATTATTTTTAGTGGTTCTCAATTCTGATCGGGCCTAAATTACCGTTTTATTGGATTTTTCTCGGCTTCGTCTATTTCTTCTACATTTTTTGCTGCCCATTCCATCGTGAATCGAATATATACACTATTGTATGTGCATGAACGTGTGGAAGTAGTCAGTAGATCCTTCCTTGTCGAGCATTTGCATTGCAGAATAGCTCTGCCAGTTCTTCTCACGTTTCTTGATGGTTTGCTGCGAGCCAACCACTTCAAAGCCGCTCACATCAATACATTACCTTTCCCACCTGCATTCAGCTTATGTGACTTTTCGGTTTGTACTTTCACAGCTCAGCATTCATCTAGTAATCTATCAGTTATCTCTCATAGCAACAATAACATCAGTAAATCATGGCTGTAGAGACCTGACAGCTGTAGTTCACCGCGAGACCCTTGTTGGATATTTGTTCTACATTGTTATTCTCTTTTCATTCGAAATTCCCAGCAGCTTCTGTTTTATGGGAACGCACTTCGCTTTGATACCGTTCTGAACAATTTTCTCTTCGCGTTTTGAACACTTTTCAGAGCTCTTTCATAAATTTCCTAAGAAAAACTATTGTCGCTCCGTGCTATTTCTTAATACTGTTAATGATTCGTGTCTGGAAAGTTCAAAAGGATGCCATCGATGTTGTTCAATCCCGTCCTGGGCGCCCACTTATTCGACTTCCGATCGGAATCGTAGTTCCGTTTTTAAATGCGTATGTGGCCTAAACAGTATCTTTATGGGGTAAGGCGATGTACAAGTCAGCTCTCATTCTACCAGAGGAATCTGTATCCATTAAAGGGCTGTGCAAGGTTAGCATGGTCCGGCCGGATATTGATCCTTGGATCATCTGTAGTGATAATGCGATACTGCCATTACACCAACCTCCTCTCCGATAGGCTACTAAGGCACTTACTTGCTTGCACTCCGGAAAAAGGAGGTCCCTATTGTGAATGCTAGGGGACCGCGCTACTAAAAGATATGTGTTCTGTGAATCGAGACCCTTACTCCGCCGGGGAGAGGACTAAACCGTCTGAAACGACCCCACCAAATTGAAAAGTATAATGTTACTGGATAGCCTTGAAGGATTGATCTCGTTCACCATGTTCATGTAATTGTTAACATTCCAGAGGGATCCGGAACCTTCTATGTAGAACCAATGAGCGCCCTGTTCCCATAATTTGTATTGACTCTGATATCTCGCCATTCAATTTTGTTCTTAAACTCAAGGCGAAGTACATTTCTTGTCAGTTCCACAAAAGCCCTATCAGTCCGGAAGGAAAAGGACTCTGCACTCAATTTTTTTGAGGACACACCAAAATTATCCCTGTAGAATAATTCCTTCTAGTCCTGGCTAGATTGCGTTTTAGTTAACACAAAGTGATCAGAGAACCTAAAGGAAGATCGGATCACAAAACGTGGAAAAGAAATGTATGAAAGTAAATATCAAGACCTGAAACTTCTTTGAGTTGCCGTCGAAGTCATTACCAAGAAGGTGCGTGGTTTGAGGTCATAGTGAGGACTTTCATTTGGGAACCCGTTTTTTTCCACGAAAACTCCAGAGGCACTATGGATTAGCGCGAGAAGATCTAAAATGATCAAGAATGAGAACTGCCTGCCCGTAGCAGACCAACTCGCCCCATTTTCCGACCTATATATGCTTCAATCGCCATCACTAGACTTGGGTCAACTATAGACGGCTCCCTGTGAATAGCGTTAATGGTGGTTTTCGAGTAAACCACCGTTCATCTGAGATGAACTGACCGTTCGCTAGTCAGGAGACCGGATTGGGTTTCCCTAGCTTGTCTTTCAACTGATCTCTAAGTGCCTTTCACAATTCTGGAATGGCACGAATTGCGAGTTTCATGGCTCCGGGGCTCTAACAATAGCGACAGGGTCGAAAGTTGGACTGGCTAAAGCTGTACATTCTTGGTCAAGGCAAACATATTGAGACCTCTACAGTTTGTGCCAAGATTTACTGAAAGTTTAAGATGAAGACACCTACACTTGGAGAACAAACATTCATTCATACGCTGCTGAGATTAGTTGGAGGAGCCTGGATGCATCCCAAAACAAGATCAATCAACCGCAAGATTCTATACAAATAAAAAATATATATGAAAAATTTAAAAGCCTTTTCTAGCTACTTTACAAAACCTTCTCTAACTGCTCTACAATGAAAACGTAAAAATACACTAATTTCTCCTTTTTTCGATCGGTTTTTCTTACAATTACTCTCTCGCTATTACATTTTTCCTTCATAGTAATCTCAGAATCATCTTGTGTTGATTGCTTTGGTTGCTTGCTCATTCCCAATTTGAAGCCATTTGATTGTGTCTCATATAGAGGTCTCGGCGATTATGAGAGATGACTTCCACATTCCCAGTGGTCCATTTCGCACATTTATTTTCCAAGAATTAATTTAAAAATTCAGACGCACTTTTCTGAACATTCAGATAATTTCCCTATAAGTGCAAAAAGATGTCATGTTGGGAGTGCGCAGACCGAGTTTAGTCCGACAAATGGCCTTCCGTCAGGATTCGAAAGAAGTGAGCTCGTTATCTTTTCGGCCGAGAATCGTCTTGATTTCTTCTGGCTTTTCCCAGTGGCTTTCGTGGAAGTCTTGACGGCACCCCGCAAGCTGACAATGAAATGAGGGTAGTTTATATCTACTGGATTCCAGGCGGATTTGTCCGTTCGACACAGTCATCTGGCACCTCCCACGGTGCCACCAGACAGTCCACGACCTCAGAAGGATACTAAAAGTGAGTTTGCAAGGTCCAAATTTCCTATAACTTATATCTCTTGTCTACGAGAGAGGAATGAACGCTAGCAGGCCTCATTCGGGCTAGGAAACGAATTTTTTCATAGGCTCTCCAAAGTTATAGTATCGTAATCACTGAAGTCATATAGCATTGTTGCAGATGAACTTATTGGTTCATCAATGGTCGTAACCATGAAAGTGCCTGAAACAAAGAAAGGTGAGCTTTCAACTTGTTTTTTTAAATTTCGCCTAATCTGCCCTCTCACCCTCCCCAAGAACTCCTTGGACCACCACATATGTACTTAATCATGGTCGGATAGGAAAAATTGTTGATCGTTCTCCTCGAGAACCTTCTAAAATTTTAAGGCAACCTGCGAGACTTCATTTCAAAAGAAACATTGAAGAAGTTCAATTGAATTCTCAGAGCTTTCATTCCCACACAAAGAAGAAGCGCAGGAACATTCTTACAGCAATCTGCATATTTGATGCATTATACGTTACAAAAGAGGGATTTTTCCACCTCAATCCCTCTTCTCATTTGGATTCCTATTCCTTGAAATGATTAGAATTTTGGCTCACAGATTTCGCTGTCCGTTTTGACGCATTCCTCTCATTCTGGTTGTTGATTGGATTCGCAGAATTTGAGTGTTTACACTTTTAGTAGTGATGATGTAAATAGACTTCTTGAGATTCGATCTGAGAACTTTGGAGGGAACACGGAAGAGATCCCCTGTGGCCAAATGAAGTGGTTGCCCATGTCTTTGAATCCTTTTCTAGGGCTTCATCATCATCTCCTTACTGACCCTTTCAGAAATCATCTCTTTGTCTTCGGTAGCAAGTTTCATGACCCACTGCTTCTGGTGGATATCAAAGTTCGCCTGCTCTTCCGCCGAAATTGTCCTCGACAATTTTATCCTTTCAACTACTGAATACCTATTCCTATCCTTAGCGTTTCTGAGGATTTCCATGTGCGTTGGCATCTCGATGAAGGTGGCTTCTTCATCGAAAAATTCTCGGAATTCCGCAGAGCATTTTGGCTTCTCCACTATTTCACCGTGAGCGGCGGTCACATGGAAGCATTTCTGTTTCCTTTCTCACTTCTACCATTTCCTAATTTCCCTCAGCTCCCTCACAAAAGTTTTCTGTTCGAGTTGATTACGACTCCACTTACTAAAGATTGAACTAAATGGCTGAAGTAGTCGCTTACGGGTTGACAATGCAATCTCAAGAAAAGGTTTAGTGAGAGTAAATTTGGGAGGTGGCCGCTGGCGTTCTCTTGGTTGGGCATTCCTTTCTCGATTTTCTTTTTTTTCTTGATATTACGACCTTTGTTAATGCCCAGGAGTTCTGTTTGCCCACCTTTGATTTTCAGAGGAATAGTTCCGTCGGTTTGTGAAGCTTTTCTACTGGATCGAGCTTTTCCTTTACAAGTGCAGCAATTTTCGAGATTGAAATTTGATTTATGTCTACTTAATTCCGAACAGACGAGCTGTGCTTTTTCCCTTCAAACGTTTGAATTATGACGCAAAACTGAAAAAGTAAAGTAGCACGTTCCCATGCGACTTTGACATACCAATTTCCTTCTAATTGGCAGGTCTCTCTACCAAATCAGCAAAATGACTTCTGAAATGCGCCACATACCTGGGCCCCATCTAGTTTCGAAGATGCGATCAGAAGCACACAGGATTGAATTTGGATCCTTTCCTTATGCTAAATATTGCAGTAAGTAATGATTTATTCACTTCCAAAGAAGGAAGGAAGCAGGAGGACACATTTGAAATTCCAACGCTGTTTCGGCAAAAAACGGCTTGGACTGGCAAGCACATAATTAGAACTTCATATCTCCAGTGTTCTTCTCGGAAGTTGGAAGAGTTAGCCAAAAGAGCCTTTTGAAGGCAGCCCTACGATCACTGATTAGCTGCGGTCTACAAAATTGGAAACAAGATTGCCGTAGAGACTAGGATTCACAATTGCGTAACGTAATTAGCAGTGGCAGAAACTCGTCCAAACGTATTTCTCGTCTTTCTACCATTGCAAGACCGTGGAATCCTGTACTGAATGGTGTGCTACCCTTGCCGTTAGATTATAAGACTCTTAATTTTGAGAGCGAAACAGTCAGCAACACTGAATGCCTTAGTGATCAGAAAAGGAAAGTACGAACATTTATGGCACTGCATCATTTTGAGCCGAGATGGAGTAGAGTTACTTCTGAATACAACCAAAATGCATGGCGCGCTCCAGGGTTCAAGCTAGCTGCATCTCTTGTTATTTATTACATAGTATGGTGATCGCAATTGTTCTCTCTAGTCATAAATATTTTTCTAATTCTTTCTTTGTATTCTAATCTCATAGGCTGCTTTCATAGTCCGCCGGCCGGCGGGCCGGCGTTCCACGAGGCAGTGCTAGGGGGGAGGAGGGCGGCAGACGGTCGGTCAGCCCCTCGAAGGGCTGTAAACAAAGAGAGACAAGTTCAAAAACCATTTGTACAAGCCCCTTGTTGTTTGGTTATTGATTTTGTTCTTCTTTGTTTTCAACTCCTCGACTGACGGTCTGCCGCCCTCCTCCCCCCTAGCACTGCCTCGTGGCACGCCGGCGGACTATGAAAGAAGCCATATAGTACATGAAGCCAATAGTAAAGTCAGTTCCTTCAACTTGAGGCCAACTACACGAAGCCTCAAACTTTTCCGAAGGCTTCTTTTTAGTTGTATGGGCTTGATACATTGGCGGAAATTCCAGAAACCCTTTAACGAGTTACGAAGGCCTTTGTTCCATTTTCTTAGCGGTTTTTAAGACTTCAAGTGCAACTTTGACCAGTGATAGATGATAACCTAGCCGGGTGCAGAAAAGAACTCTTCTTTCATGTGGAAGACTTCACTCATAGCCATGTTCGTTGGGCAAAACCCTTGTCTGTTCTTATGTTAATTGGTTTGTCATTCGGTTCGACAGTCCAAACAGTCGTTCGTGAGCTCTTGTTCGAACGAACCTAACAGTGAAAGAGACAAAAACTACTTTTCAAGGTTACTTCAAGCCATTCTCCTTGACACTTATCGTCATTTCAGTTGGTCAAAACAGTTGATGTAGCGCGGATACACTTTAGGCGAATAGGGCGGTTGAGACCAAACCAGGTCGCTATATCCTCTTGTCATACAGCTCGAGCTGCATCGGGATTGGCATGGTCGTGAGCGATATAGCCTTCCTGCTTGGCCATCCGACTTTTGGGCTTACCATCAGTGTACAAACCGACTCATGGTTCATCATTAGCCATTTGAAGAATGATGGGTGATGTCAGGGAAACGTTCAGTTTGTTATTGAAGGAGTCATTGGGGTTCTAAGTTTGTGACTGCTTCTTGTGCTTCTGAAATGAATGAGATGCCCACATAGATAACTACTTGACAATGTTCAGTCATTTGGAAAGCTTCAACCAGCGAATGCCTGTCTCGTTAGCATGTTTCATTTTCCCGCTGTTCCATTAGAATCTGCGCTCCGTGGAACGGAACATTCGTGCGTCCGGAGATGTGCGTGGCAAAGTGCGCGGCAAAATTCTTGGTAAATTGAACGACTTTAGGGCCTATCGCCTATTGGGACCTTAATTTGAGTGAAAAATATTAGTAGGATCAACTGATCCTATTGATCTTCTTTGCTCTGAACCTGTGGCCCTGTGTTAGAGTCGTCAGAATCTCCATAAATCTCGCCGCACAGTTTGCTGCGCGCATCGCAAATGTGGGTTTTGTGTGATCGATTGCCGCACGCGGCAGTCGCGGACTAGTTGCATCGTTATTGTAACCTACTTTTCTTCATACAGCTCAATCGATATGCGATTGGCGTGGTTCTATTGTTACTCATTTTGTTCCTGTAGTTCTTACTTGTTGCACCGTTTCCGCTTCATTTGGCTACATTCTTTCGTGTGCGAGTTGCTCTCGCCGCGAAGCGACCATTTCGATACAACTGCACCATGCCCGGTTCTTCACTCGAAAATCGCGCTGCCTAGCCGCCCTCGACCGCGCGCAGTCGCGCATTATGATGGAGGAAGTTCGAATTCCCACCGGAAGGAAGGATATGGTAGGTGCCATGGAACCACTGCCGGTGACGTGAGAATTCGGGAGAAGTACTGCCACCCATAGGTTCGAGAGTTCTCATACCTGGACAAGGTTCACTCGATGTACTCAATGAAATCCTTCAGGAGTAATGAAGTCAAAAGTGTTTTTCAGCGTTATCCTATGTCATTTATTAATTGTCTGTTCAGAGAATAACGTCGTGCGATTGGAGTCGATACAACTCGAAGAAAAGCGGAAATAATCGTTGTGTGGAATTCTTCACAAGTGTTCATACATACGCTGAAACGCCTTCATAATGAGTGCATGTGAATAACGATCATTATGTCATTTCTTTGAATAGTATTCTTGTATAAATTGTGTTTTCATCGTCATATACCGTCGATTAAAGCCGGCACAAAGTATGCTACAGTCGTGTAACATTGGCTAATAGATAATATCCTCAAAAAAACGTTCATCGAGAACCTCTCATTATAGGAATTAGGGGCATCTGAATCATCTATTCGAATCAGTCTAATTCAGAGAAGTCTGTGATAGATGACTGCTGAACAATGGACAAAAAGGGCTCGATTCGAATTGCAAGGCGCCCATTCACTTCCTCCCCCACAGACTTCCTTCGTTGGAATTCCCTCCCTCACAATTAGCGTGAGAAAAACGATGCGGTTTGATTAAATTGCTTATTCGAAACTAGCGAGTGAACACTTCGCATGCTTTTCAAATTCTGTGAAATAGCAATTTTGCTATCAGGCGGTACTATCTAAGCAGACGGATAGGTGCACATAGAAGTTCAACAGAAACAGACCATACTGGTCTGGTCACAGGGTGATGGAGGAGGGGGAGGGCGGGGGGGGGGGAAGGAGTTGAGGAGTGGAGAAGGAATTAAACGCCTCAGAAATATATAAAATTGATAGGCAATTGTAAAGAAGAGAAGCATGCATTTCGTTTGGTTTTGATGTTGCTCGATTCGTTCCGGAACTATCAGTAGGAGTAGTGATAAGCAAGTTCAAAAGGCGTATGACTGTGGAACTGAGGATACTTCCATAGCTGCTGCAAGGTCCTTCACAAGTTACACATCTACAGGTAAAGAACTTCCTTAATGGGCAGGCTGCCAATTTGAATCGAGAGCTAGTCCTAATATGAGTGCAAGAGAAGTCAGATGAGCATATGGTAGTCCTTTTGCCAACCCATTCGCCGATACAGAAGGACGCAACCATCGCAGGGTTCACTTCTGGGAAAGAGATTACGGGTGGAGGTAAGAAGCAAACGGAACAGCTCTAGATTCGGCAAATTTCATGACCAAATATATCTATTTTAAGGGTAGGTCTTTCGACTTTCGGTAAAAAAGAGTGGCTTGATCGATTGTCTATAACTCTGGGTTTATTTACGGTAGCGATTGATTTTCTCGGCCCCGAGTCAATCAATCCCTACCGTAGGTAAATCAAGAGTTCGGCTCATAGTGTGTACTCGGTAGGTTTTCTTGTTTTTTTTNTTTTTTTTCTTGGTAGGTAGGTAGGTTGGTGGGTTTTTGGGATTTAGTAGGTTTCAACATCCATTTTCACATAAAAACCTTCAAATGGAGTTCTGTGTCTGAGTAACTCGGGATGAGCCCTGGACTGGACAGAATACTATACTCGCCACAGAATAGTGATGAGCGAAATTTAACTATGTAAAAGGGCGAGTTCGAGTCAAAACCTTCATTTCTATTCCAGTAGTCCCTGAAAGATCATGAAGCTCTCGCAGTCTTGCACTCAGCGTACTTAATCAGTATCATAATTCAATAGAGTGAGGCATTCTTTAGCCGTCTTGATTTGTACTTCCTAAAAACTCTTCGTAATATTTTGCGTAGTGTAAACAGATGAATTTTTAACTAGACCACTTGATTCTTGCGAAGCATCTTTACAGTATTGAAAGGATAAAAACTCTGGCGTTCATCAGTTATCCTCCCAGACGACATGAAGAAATCAAGCGACTTCTGAAGCGTGCGCTTCGTTCTGCGTATCCATCGAAACTATTAGTTCACGCCGCGGCCGTGGCATGCGGCGTATCATCCCGCGATACTTGACTGACGTCGAAGTTGTCATTGGGGCATAGGATACGGCATAAGGTTGGTCCACGGTGGTCAGCTCAAAGAGAAGATAACACGGACTGGTGTGAATAATTCGTTACACTTACACTTGGTGGTACTGTGATGCTATCTAGAGACCTTAGTGGGATGCACCGCGTGCCAAGTGGGCGGGGTGACCCAGTTTTTACAGAGACACGGAACGAACGTTCTCCACTCCTGAGGGATGGAAGACTTCATTGGCAAGTAGGGGTCCGGGATGCGATCTTCGGATTATTCATGCATGAGACAGTGCACATCACTTAGAAAGACATCACTTCCAGAAATTCCTAGAATAAAAATGAGGGAACAAAATTTAAATTATGATGTATACCCAGGGGTATTCGAGTTCTCGTTCACTTACCTGTGCGTAACAACAAATAACATTTTTTAAATCAGATTTAACCATTCAAAGTATGCGACAGTAATTGCAATGTTCCTCTGATTGTAAGTCAGTTGTTCTCTACAAGACAACCACTGCTCCTACGAGGTTTTGAGTACATTCTCACGAGATCGTGAGAAAAAGATCGGTATACATTGGCATTTCAAGTTTATGGACAGCACATGAGCCACGGCCTGCGCTCAAACATGTGCAAAGGAGCCCATGTAGAGAGATTTGCAATCTTCATCACATCCATCTCGTCCTCTTCGTCATAATCTACCTTACTAGTTTTGATTTAGGCGCTAGCACTTTAAATTTCCTCGTTGAGCTCTCCTTCGTCGTGACTGGTTGATATCTCATCAGAAATGTTAATTTACAGCTGTAGGGAGATGCACTTGGACGAACTCGGTGCTTTATAGACACCTTAATAAATATTTCATAGGAGGAGAACTATTTATGAAATGCCATCTACGTGGGCCTAATCAAATATGACATGTTCCTGATGTCATTGGCGAACGTTCTGACTATGTAAGTATCTGACCAGAGTAAGGGCGGCCACGGAAAGAGACCGTAGCTGGGTTCCTCTGAACGACCTTCGCGTGGAGGGAATCAAAAGGAGTTCTGCGCACGAAGAGAAAATGAAGCAGTCTACTGCCTAGAAAAGCATTATTTCCTAGAGAGAGTAATATGAATTCTCGCCACCTCCCCTGCGAATTCCGCTTTGAATACGGCATTTTCTCGTCTTATATGAGTATGAGTCCATACACTTCGAGAACTTTTTATCATAAAGATGTTATTGGACGCTACGCTTGACTTGACTGGAGTCATTTGAACGAGCACAATAAAGAACCCCCATAAAAAGCATTCCCGACGTGATAGGCTTTAAACCTTCCCACTTATAATCTTCCTGTCTGAAGCATTTAGTTAGACTTTTAGGAGCAGTTCTGGCTGCAAAAAAGTATCATTGTTCCTCCCTCCCATATTGCAGGAAAGGGACAGATTTGCCGCTCTTCGACTGATTCCTCACAACTCGATCGAGTAACTCCGAACAACAAGTTGTTGCATAGCTCCGAATCAAACGCCCGGACCACTGCACTCGAAGTCCGTTCGGAATCGTATGTTAAGACGTTTTGAATGCGTATGTGTGCATGTGTCAAACAATTACTTGGGGCGTCCAGTCGATGTACAATCCGATGTTCTTATCCTCCCACGCAAGTCTTGTACCAATTAATCGGTTTCTGAGGCATTGAAGGCTAGAAGGGCCTGAGGCCCATGTGTCTATTCGGGATTCAATCCCGAACCATGCCATTATGGTAGTGCGCTACTTGCCACTACTCCGAGCTTATCCAAATTTATACTGTTGGCATCGCTTGGGAGAACCCTGGTCAGTCGAGCATTTCCAAACTTTCCTTTCACTGGATAAGCCTTTATGAGTGTAACTCTACGACTCCCCTATCACATTTAGGAACACCCAGCAATTCTTAAAGGCACAGTTCACGATACCTTGGAGGTACCCTTTTTAGGCAGGAAAGTGAAAGTGTAGACGAGTACATCGGTGGCGAAGGAGGCGAGAGAATCCGCTTACTTCAAGCTTTTTAAAAGCAGCGGAAGTGGAGTTTGTACGAGATCACCGTGGCGAGAATGGCATGCAAGGGGTGCTTGGACGAGATTTGACTTACTTCCATTGCTCAAAGAGATGACCACATCAAGCCGAAATTGTCCGAAATTGCCTTCCACTGTCGCTGTGAGTCACCACAAGTTGTTTGAACTTCCTACATTGGTTCCCTTATGAATGGTGCAGCCTCTGCAAAGCCGTTGGAACTCGTCCATTAGGGGTGTGGCATTCACACGACACAGTCTCTGGTTCCTTATTGTGAACTATGCAAGACGTTATAACGACAGGAATGGTATAAGGGGGAGCCTCGAATTCATAATATAGGGAATATTAGAAACCATTTTTATCGTGAACTGTGCCTTTAACCTTTGGAATCAAAACTGTTATGCACTTGGGTCAGAACGCACGCCTTGTGGTGTATGGTGACATCCCGACATTTACAATGCCCATCAAAAGCTTGCTAACGATGTCCGAACGGCTCAGCCAGTCGTAAGAACGGACTTGAAATTACCACTCGATGAAAATACGCCTTTTTACTCTAATGGTAATTCGCTACACCAATAGTATTCTTCTACCGGAGCATAGCTCTTATTTCACTGCATTATAATAACCTACGTCCATCATTTGGCACTTTTTCAGGTTAGGAAGGTAACTTAGCAAACATTCCAGGCTTATGTAAGTTCTATAAACCTTGAAATCATCAGTATACTACTGTTATGATTTTTCAAAATACTTCTGCAAGCAAAGTTCGTGGTACGGTGTATTATCAAAAGCAACATTCACGGTACATATTTGACATTCATTACTTCCAATCAATCTGATATGAGCATTCAATACAGAGAACACGAAAACATACATTACAAACCCTTGAATGCATGAAAAATGACCGCAAAGGCAACGCTTTACTTGCTTCTATTCTATGAAGTATATTCAGCCGACTATGGACCGGAGAGCATTGCCGAGAAGCCCACCGAGTCCCTGTTGCCCAAATCCACCACTCATTTGGTTACCAAACATTTGAGATCCAAAGCCTCCTTGCTGGCCATACATCTGACTACCATAGCTTTGTCCACTATACAACTGACCACCATATCCTTGTCTTCCGTACATCTGCCCACCATATCCTTGGTTTCCATACATCTGTCCACTATATCCTTGGTTTCCATACATCTGACCTCCGTAACCTTGTCTTCCATACGTTTGACCACCGTATCCTTGTCTTCCATACATTTGCCTACCGTATCCCTGTCTCCCATACATTTGACGACCATTTCCTTGCCTTCCATACGCTTGCCTACCGTATCCCTGCCTTCCATACATTTGACCACCATACCCCTGTCTTCCATACATTTGACCACCGTATCCTTGTCTTCCGTACATTTGTCCACCGTATCCCTGTCTTCCATACATCTGACCACCGTATCCTTGTCTGCCATACATCTGGCCTCCGTAACCTTGCCTTCCGTACATTTGAGCTCCGAAGCCTCCTTGTCTTCCATACATCTGTCCACCGTAATTGCCCATTGCTTGCCCTCCGTACATGGATCCAAAGCCTTGTCGTTTCGTTCGTGAGCTAGAAAAACCATTGCTTAGAAGAATGCATGAATGTGAAAAAGATATGCGTTTATAAACTAGTGTTTCCAACTTAAAAGGGTTTACTTCCTATCATCTTACTATCATACTAACTTGGATGTTCTGTATAAAGATGTGTTCCGAGCATAGTGCCTAGTTTGAAGTGTCTATCTAGCAATTGGGTTCTTGATCGACCTTACTTTCCCGCATCGCTCATAAGAAGTTTTGATCGAAAACTGCTTTAAGAGAAAACATGCATTAATCTGTCTCCCGAAAAAAACTTTGACATAAATCGATCCAACGACAGAGTTTCCCATTAAAATTTCTACCCGAAAAACACGTGATGCCTCTTGAGTGTCCCAACATGTGTCCTCATAAAAATTATGCGATACTCTGAAAGTTGTTTCAAGGCGACTTTGAACATATCAAACTACATCTCCAGTCCATGAAAACCACCGCCCATTACCATTACTTCCCATAGAATATACTGTGAAAACACGTACACAATAGCCCTTTATATTGGCGATCCCGGAGGTAGATCCCTATTTCTATCTATTTCACAACTTCTGCCTCCTTTGGAATGGCGTGTGCGAACCAAAGGAGGAAGGGGAGGAGCCAGTGCCCTTACCAAGTGAACTGCTTCAGCGACGGATCCCTATTGTCCGGTTCGATACGATTAGTAAATGGTATTTCCGTGGAATCGATACCGAAATTGTACTTCACCTCACGTCACTCTTCACGACTAATTTAAAATAATCTCTCAGAAAGAGCGAAGATGGTGTAATGCCAAGTGGTGCTCAATCACATGCGTACTCGGACGAATTGATCAAGCCGAGAGGTTTTTGCTTTATCTGTTTAACAAACCCCCACTCGAGATAGGCAGCAGCCGTAGCCATTCAAGCTTTCCAAGAAATCAAGGGCAAGAATGGTGCGAAGGATACAGTGGTGGAAGCTGCACGCAGCCGAAAAAGAGCGTATAGCGGAGCATAGACGAGACTGGTCTCCCAGACCCCGTGAGGCCGACCCAGCAGACCTGGAGCAACGCTGTAAAAGTCATCTACGGTGTGCAACGAAAACGGCGAGGGAGATTCCGGAAGACAAGGATGGATAGTTCTGGAACGATTAAGTCCACGAGTAGTGGGACAGATGAAAGCCGCCTGCAAGCGCTGGAAAAGATGCGAGACTTGGAAGACCTATGCCTCGGAAGTTTCAAGAGACACGTCAAGGCTGCCGTAGTGAAGGCAAAGATCACGGAAGCGAACCCAATGTGCGCGAAGCTCGATAGTCGAGAAGGAGAGATGATCGTCTATCGGGTGGTCAAAGCGTGCTACCGGGCTCTATAGGCCGGTTCCATCGCACGCTGGGCAAAAAGTGAGGTTGGGAAGGCAACTAGTTTGGTGAGGTAACAATCGAAGCATAGTTACCGTTCGGAGAGCTTCGCTCGGCTGGCTTCGGGTTTAGGTCGTTCACTTGACTCCTGAACATTGTAACATTATGACGACTAAGGGAGGAATCCTATTATGGATGTCCGTAAGAGTGCCATACATAGTTCCCATTTTCGAGCAGAGACGAGTTTTGGTGGGGTCTGCCGACTACCGGATGATTGGGTTGATGGGTCATAAGTCGAAGCTTCGCGAGCGGTTAATCGACTCTAAAGAGTTAAAGGAATTTATTCCGAATCCACAGAAACAGTTATGCTTTGTGCCAGAAAAGTCTACAACAGATAGTACCTTTATAGGGAGGGGGGAGTGGGGAAGTCATGGAGAAGAAACGATATAATGTAGACCCTGCTACCTAACCTTCCTCGATATAGAGGCTTTTGACTGTCTCCCGACAAAGCCTATGATCGAGTACCCAACAAGTGACGTTCCGAAGCACAGTATCTCTCTTTTGAAGGGAACGTAGGATTGGCTTGAGAATATCATACGTACCGCAGCGGCTCGACAGAACTAGAAGAAGTTGGACACACGAGGATCAGATACGCCTCGTTCCTCCTCCTGTTTACTATGAGTGTCACCACAAAAGCGCCCCTGGATGAACCACTGAAGACCATCCTTTCCGCTGCTTACATTGCTTTGACAGAGGAAGAGCTTGGCAAAACTCCATGACAAGCAGCAGAAATCGCAGAACTTACTGACGGGAAATGCGCTCCTACTGAATGTTAAAAAGACCAAGCTCTCCCCTTGAACGACTGCGCAGTAGATGCAGTGGGTAAACCACCGAAAGAGTGCAAGACATGCGCTTTTGGGGGGAGTGACCTAGCAGCTGAACCAAGTTTTGAAGGCTCAGAAACGCGGCATGGGTGAAATGGAGAGAGGTCGCTGGTACCCTGGCAGAGGCTGTGGTAAATAGAAGGAAGGGGAGACGGACGACAAGAGTAGCGGATCCTGCTACGACGCTGAATTAAGGCAATGAAGAAGAAGCTGAATCATCGAGGCTTAAATGCCACGAGCGACTTCGCATATAAGAATTGAGCAGATGACTACGGCCCACTCTGGGATTATTCCTCAAGCTCATTTACTGGTATCCTGAGTTACCGACGGGCTCCACTGCGCCCAAGAAAACATGCACCAGAAACAAAGAGTCCGGGTGGTTGTAAGCAGGCGCTTTTCAGTTGAAGATGAGTGAGCAGAGTGCGGATGGTGCGAACGGTCCTGAAAACGCCTTCGGATCATTCTATCCAACGACATCGGGCTTCGGCGCTCAAGGGAACCGATTACGGGAGCCTCAAAGAATAGTCGACGTGACGGGCTCAGGTAGGACCTCACTGTAAATTAAGTAACGGCAGAAGCTGTGGTAAATAGAAGGATGGGGAGACGGATGACAAGAGCAGCGGATCCTGCTACGTCGCTGAATTAATGCAAGGAAGAAGAATAAGTTGGAACATCGAGACTTAAATGCCACGAGCGACTTCGCGTATGAGAATTGAGCAGATGACTACGGCCCTCTCTGGGGTCATTCCTCAAGCTCATCTACCTTTTGGTTGTGATTGGTCTGAAGTGGTCATCCTAGCAACAAGCTAGAGCAGTGGTAGCCACTATATTGAATCAGTAGCTCAGATCAGTTTTTATGAGCTTCTGTTTTTAGCCACGTATCGGATATTTTTCAGTACTTTACAGGACTTTCCAAATAAAAAAACGTGGAAATAAGCCATCTCATGGTGGAATAACTCCAAGTAACGGGCGAACCTCAAGAACTGCAGTGAGTATTACCATCCACTTTATTATACTAACCTGGCATCACTGAGATCCTGAGCAGCAAGCAATAGCAGTAAGATAAGAATCATTCCGTAGTACTAGAAGAGAAGTTGTAGCTATTCGATGACAATTATTTTGAACTGCAACCGCTCTAGTTCCTAGTAACCTCGACCGCCCACTCGAATTACTCGGCAAGGCCGAACAATATGGTTACACAATGGCAATGGCGAACACTCTCAACGTGATTCGATCTAAGGTCGAGATCCATTACGCTGGGAACGGCCAACAGAAACAACTATTTCAAAATGAGCTGAAGAGAATAGAAATCTACGACGCTCTACCTGGACGAAATATGTATAGGCCTTTGTTTGAAAATTGCACAATAGTAGCTGTTGGGGTGAAGGAACCAAAACGATAAGGGTGTTCTGAGGAAAAGAGATGCCAAGAAGGGAGTGTTCGGACTTTTGCAAAAATCAAAAAAATGTCTCATAGTGGGTGAGCCTTAGCCAACAGAATTTTCATCAATTCGCTCTACCATCTTCGCCGTCTTTCCCTGGTCTTTCCATAATATTTAGTTTTAGAGTGGTTAGTCTATAAACTTGGAAATCTACAAACCAATTTTGTGTCCAAATCACTCTCAAATTCAACAAGGAGCGGTAAAATGGTCCAAACAGTGGCTATCGCCTCTAGCTCCACAGAAAATACAACACCCGCCGCAATTGTTCAAAAAAAACCACGGAAAAAGACGATTTTCATTTTTATTTTGTGATTTTCTGAACAATCAGTGTTGGTATTGTAGCGCCTATAGAAAACAGATACAGCTATTCGTGGCACTTATCTAGATAAAGTTTACAAGAAGAACTCAACTGAACAGGACTCAAAAAAGCTATTGATTTACTTTGGATGGGATAATATTTTATTGGATGGTGTTGATGTGCGAAAGTTGCGAAAGTTTTGCAGTTCGAATTGTAGTATGCGGTTCCGCACATGCGTTTCAACCCCAGCTCTAACGATCTTCGTTGGATACTGGCCAGATTAAGCTTAGAAGGAAAGGGGCTGAAAGCCTTCTATAAGAACCTGGAACTGCTCAACGGGGCAAACTCTCGTTCTCCGAGGTCAGCGCCAATGACTTCAACCTCAACATTGGAAGGGCAGATGGTGGCCGAAGAGCTTCATATTGGGATGAAACGAAGTGAGCAAGGTGAAGGACTGATTGAGCCTATCACATCGACCTACACTCTCCGTGAAACTCGGATTTTCAGTGAGCCCTTTATTTGAGTTGGACTTGAGAGTCACCTGGAAGACAGCTCCATCATGAAATAAACCACCATCTATCATCTCTAATCGAAATTCTCGCCTGATGTTGAATTTCTGAACAGGATCGAACCATGGTCTCCCTCGCGCTTAATATCGTTTTATAGTGGAGAGGAAGTTGTGTAGGCTGTGTTTAGGCTGTGTAGGCTGTACGGGACTTTGAATTGTCACTAATTCGGCTTGTGAATTTCATGTAAGCTATGGGGAGATACCATTGTCGACAGCGTCGATAAATAATGCAAATAAGAATACAACGCTTTATCGAACATGTTCACGATTGTGCCACGAAAACATAGAGGACACTGTCTAACAGCTGTCGACTCTTTTGGAGGACATGTTGTTGATGTTCCAAAGTAGTAGCTCTCTCATATTAAATCATTTGCCATTGGCCCTTTCGTGGTTAACAACCACTTATATTCCAATATAAACTTTCAGGCATCATAGGTCTTTCTACCTCATATTCTACATGGCCGGTCTGTCGGAGGCCTGACTCCTTACTACAACTCTTTTCTACTTGTGCAGTCGGTTTGCCTGAAATTTGGTCTCCCTAGATTGAAAATCGTGTATGGTTCCTGAAGGAAGTATGGTCTGAAGGTAGTAAGCAATTTTGACAAATTACACAGAAAGAGAGTTTACTGCGACGAAATGATATGAGTCAAGATTAATCAGTACAGCAAATGGTTGTTGAAATTATGAACGACAAGTGGTAACCCTTCATGCTAAATGTCTGCTGCTTTTTTTTTCCTATGAAAACACTCGGCTAAGCCAACTTTGAGCTCATTCAGTAGCGTGAAGAGAAGGCTGAAACTCATGTATTATCCTGCTTGCTTGAATGAAACAGAGTCATTGTTGATTAAGAAGATAAACCCTCTGTTGAGACATCATTTGTGACAAAGTATGAGTGTCCTAACCAAGGGCAAACGGTGCCAGGGGACAACCATTTCTGGAAAATACAACTTCATCAATATTATTCTGCGGCAGTGCTCCAAAAAGTGAATTCGTTTCATGCTGAACATCGGGAAATTCCAGACCATTTCATGAGTGTTGATGCTCAAGGAAATATTCTTGAATGCTCAAGACCTCTGTGATATTATTTTCACTCACCCCGACCTTAGGTCACATGTGATCCCTGTTTTTTGCAATAAAGTACTTTTCGGACAACAATGAATGGACAAATTAACATAGAAGCAAAAGTAATTTATTCAGCATATGACAGTAGAAGGAGCAAGAATACCCTTAGTAGTGGATAAGAATGCTATCCGAGTGCTGGGAACACGGTCTCTGCCAATGGGCAGCTATCGTTAATTGCACCTCTATCCAAATTGTAATATTCTACACCGGCAGTATCGTAGGAATAGACTCCTTCTTCCGATGCTTTGTAGAAGTAGCATTCGTACTGAAAACTGTGATTTAGAATTGACATAAGAAAAAATCCAAAAGTCAAAGCGATAGCTACTTCACCCATGCTGTTCCTAAGACTGTCGTTAAAGGTTACAAACAATTTACTACAAAGCAACGGCACGAAAAATAGTACTAATAACCGAGCCGATCGTCTCGGCACCAGAAGGAAACCATCAGAATACCAAAAAATTGCTATCTTCATTAGCAATCGGTACAATGGCATCATTCCAAAACTGTGCTGTGATCGAGTTTACACGTATCAGACACTGCGTTGAAGCTGCTTTTGCTGGATCCAGAGGAATTTTAGAACTATGTTCTACTTTCGGATACAGCTATATGAAAGACTTTTGGCGTGCGATCCGAACAGAAAACGGAATGAGGTGATGAGGGGGGGGGGGGGGGGGGGGGGTTTCAAGGCCTGTCATAATTACCTTTTTCATTAACCATCACTATTTCCATGCAAATTTTGGGTTTGCTCTTAACATTTTATTACGAGGCTTTGGAGCAAAACGTGAACCTTTCCCTCCATCCTTCCATAATGGGGGAGTTTTGTGAACAGCCCCATTGTTCAAATCATTCTGTGGGCAACTAAATGATTGCGTATAAGGGAAACATAATGAGCTTTTTTTACAGAGAAGAGAGACAGATATTTATCAGCTCGACCTGTTAGCCATAAACAGCTCTGACAACCGGAACAAAAATACGAAACATTTCGACAAAAAGGTAGTTATCCTTCAAGATGACTGTTGGGAGTTCTTAGGAAATACGCAGTAGCTCACCATTAGATGCTAACTTAACACAGTATTCTCCAAATACGGTGCTGATTAGCAACGCGCTCGTTAACATACAATCTAAATCATCTGCTCTCTGCATAAAAACGGAAACTTGTCACCTCTCCTGCCCTTTTCGCGACGTCAATTTGAATGCACTCCGAGAACTCTTCAAGACACATCTTCAGACAAGCGCCAGTGCTATTTAGAATCTCCATCTTTATAAGAGACATATATGACATATATGGTCCATTATGGAGAGGAGCTAATGTGTAGGTGCAGGAAAGCATCTGATCCACCTGAAAATGGACTGATTCCGTAGTATTTTTGTAGTGTTTTGTGGCATCCGAAGTCATTGTATCGAAACGGAAAGTATTAAGGAAAAAAGGTTGATTAAATGCCGAATATCGTCGTCCATCGGTTACAGCCCTCGAACAGATGTAGATCTGCCCTTTCCCTATAAGATGAAACATGAAAATGGCAGAGATCTGTATGATAGCCAGCAGAGAATAGTACGCACTGAAAAGTGCTAAAGGGAAACTGGCACGTAAATATATCCGGAACTGCTGTTTTTTCACGGTACGACTGTCTGTTCTTTTTGCGAGTGGGGATGTGGGTGGGGTGCGCCAAATTAACTTTTCCTAAAGCCTGCTGGAGCTCAACATAACAATTTAGTCCCGCTGAATCCCATGACCCTTAGTAGCTAGTGAACCGAAGTCATTACGCCTACCTTGAGAAAATTTTCCGCGCGTATTACTCGCTCAGTTGTCTTTCCGTACTTTCGGATTGGGCTTCTTTCTAGGCTCCGCCTGTTATCAGAAGCCAGGTAGTTAATTGTTTACATCACTTGTCAATATTAACATTATCATGAGCTCCCGTTTATCATTGATTTCCTCAAGCGAGCACCAGTAATAGCTCTGTATCTGTACAGATTCGTCCCTGTCGTGAGCCATAGTAGTCTAGTCGATCGTCCTCGCTCAATGGACACCACACATGGCATTCCTTCCGTTGAGGCCTTTGTAAAGGAGTCTGACCATGATGCTAGTTGCCGTCCTAGCATTTGCTTGGCATCTCGAGAGATTCACAGAGTAACCGCCGTGGTCCAACATTCTTTGCAAGTTTGCAAAACGTGCTTGGTCCGCCTGATCTTCGATTATTTGCGGTGAGGAATAGCATCCCTGATCCTCATTCGTTGACTGAGCTGAAAACTAGGAATTCTCTTTTGCTAGGGCAATTACGAGCCTCATCCTCTACACAGCGCGGTGAATGACGCTTGTGTGCTCATCTTGGCTTCGTAGAATCCACGTCTTCAAAACGTATATCAAATCAGGAAAGACCGCAGTGTCGAAAAGGTTCTTTGACTTTTCTACGACTCCCTCGGTATTGTTGTTCCCGAAGCGGCGTGCTTGCTTCTGTTCACCTCCGGAGCTAGGTCATCATATTGACCTAAGCGTTGGAGATATTCGTCCCCCTGGGCGTAAAATGAGCATTAGGTACCAATCGCTTTTTTATCGTTTTCAACATCGTTAGGCTCATGCAAGCCAATCTTCCTGCAAGTCGAATCAGAGCAGTATTTTTCCGTTTGCTCCTGTTCGTTGTTGTAAGCACTGTGTCGTCTGCGAAGAGCAGATGATGTAAGTAACGGCTGTCAGACATCAATCTCAAGTCTTCCCATTCCAAACGACTCAAGAGCGGCGCTGTAAAGGTTGAACGAATTAGTATCGAGCGACTAAACTTATCTCTTCACATTAACAACTAATTCCTTATAGGGTTGCGAAAGTTCTAGTGATGAACATGCGGCTGCCCTTCATCTACAGGGTGCGCCATAAATATGGTAACAACTTTTTAGACCTCCGTAATTTCCTTGTTTGGAGGGTTTCTCCAGATCTGCACCTCCCTTATTTTTATGGTGCACCTTAGCCCACATATTTACTTTGGTATTCTCAATTCGTCAAATTTCGGAAAGCGGTAGAGCTTCGCAGACATCAACCACCGTTCTGTCCTTGCGCGCTTTTGGTGAGCGCTTTCCGGGTTCGTTCCTCGTTTCAATATTTCCCACATGACAGTCTCTTGGATCCCGTTGCGTGGACAGGTCAATAACAAACCTCAATACGGTCGTCTTGTCTCACATACGACCCCTTTTCCGAATACAATTTCTTGGCAGGGAGTACGCTGCGGAACCTGCAGAAACACCAGAAAAATGACGGCTGATTTGTTTATATGTTCTAATCCGATAGGAATAGTCTACCCAGAGCAAATAGAATTGTATCCAGATAAGATTCGAACGCCTTTTAAGCTTTTTGACGGGAAGAAATTGAAGAGAAAAATCAAGTGCCGTGCGTTACATGCGCGCGGCACGCGCTCCGAAACACATTTTCCTGACTAAAGGATGTTCAGCGTAGAAGAAATGATGAGATCCCAAAGTATACATATGTTTCACACTAAGAGGGCTGAAGCCGTTGAGAAAGTCAGATCGCCTCTTAAAGCCATTACTCCTCTTTCATGATAGTCTGGGCTGGAGTCTCTACCATTAGAGCGATATCGCAAATTTCGGTCGAGAGAAGTACAAAATTTACCCCGCACCTCTTTAAGAACGGGTTTCCTGTAAGGGTGCAGCTAAGGGTCAAAAATTTTTCTAGGGATCCGACTTAAAAACAACGGCGCACTTGCTCATGAATGGGAAAAGATCGAGACTGGTGGTGAAGATATGTTCGCGACCATATCCCACCTTCCCATCCTTCTACGAATTTTCCGGGCCACAATGTGATGGGTAGCTGGATATAGCCCAGACTAGAAAGGGAGGCCTGTGCTTCAAAATGCACCACTATTGCTGCTCCCAAGAGATCATTGAAAAAATCCCAAGCTGGAGTTCCTCAAGGAACTCTGCGTGCCGCCGTCGATATGTAGCCGCAGCGTCTTTGAACTATAATTAGTACAGGAAACGGTTATATGAGATGACCGTGTGTTTGTTTTGTAGATGCGATGCATAGTAAATAGATCACATAAATTCACCATGTATCAATGTTAACTGTTGTTTCTGTAGCCAAATTACTTTGTTACCATATTTACGGCGCACCCTGTAGTATGCTGCTAGTTATTCTGAGAGCGTTAGATGCTCGATCTGCGTGATGTTTCCAAACAGTTGAATCTGCGCAGTTTTGTAGTTTTCTACGACGTAGGCCTTGAGCATCCCGACAGGTACTGCGTGAGGAGCCTAGCCAGCGTTTTGGGGATAATTGTGGGAGGCTGTTGAGATAATCTTAATTCATTCTGTCGTGATAAGGCGTCGCACAATTCTTGATCGGCGTGTGGCATCTCGAATATTGAAAGGGGAAACTAAATGAACGACATATCCGTCCTGCCTAGGACGATAAGTAGGCAGGTAGACGTGGCCGTCGGAGAGGTTCGAGTGGAATTCGAAAACAAGCTTCTTCAATGCCTTTCAAAATGCTGTTCCGTCGAGACCATAGAAGAAAATTATCTTCGTCTTGTGACTGGCAGCTGCGGCGAGCATTGCTACATTCCACGGCTTTTAGGCTTTGACAAAAACTGCTTCTACTTCTTCTAACATGTCTTCTTTTATCGCCTCTCTGCACAACTTTGCAAGTTCAGAAATTAGTTGATGACTGCCTGCATGTTTTTTTTGCGATTTCACGCTGATCTTCGCGAGTTTTCGAAGGGAAGCTTCTTTAGGAATTTGTAGGCTTTATAATTTCGTGACAATCAAGCGGATTGTATTCTTTTGAATCATTCATCGATGCTGCCTGACCCATAACTTGCAACGAAATCTCAATCCAAACTAGTAATCTACACAGCCCTCCCTCCAGTGAAAAATCAAGCGAGGGAGACCATGGTTTCATCCCTTTAAGAAAAATTCACCGTCAGGAGAAAATTTCTTTTGGAGATTATGTGCTTCTACTTCAATAAGGAATTATCTATTAAGTGACTCTCGAGTCCAACACAAATGAAGCGGTCACTGAAAATGAGCTGTGAGCCTTCAACATGCTCTTTAGCTTTGGATAGCCACATCAAGTGGAGATCAATGAATGTTCTCTGTTCAGCGTACTCGCATATAGTGTGAAAACTTCAGTCCTTTTTTCTGGCCCGATGGTGAAATTTTTAACGGTATCTTCGATGCCCCTTCGTACACAGCTTGCACACGTGCATATTCATACTGATCATACATACCTGTATAAGGATGAAGAACGCCGCAAATGATGAGATCAGGTTCTGACGGATTAACTTCATCTCTGAATTGACGAGTACACTCGGAAATCTGAATTTTCACTGTAGGAGTCTATGAAAGTATCGTTAATGCGAGGGTTCATACCGTAATCTCTGACTCCAATGGGAAGAATATGAAAAATGGTTGCGGATAGCTCACATTAGAAAACAAGTCATTTGTCAATATGTCATCAAATAGTATTTCAATCCCAGGTTACACTCTCATTGGGTCTTGGCATGGCTTTGGATAAGTCTTTTGAGGCTTTTGATACAACCTGTGACCAAGATGACAGAAAAGATCCTCACTCGACTTACGTTTCGGCTTCTTCGCCTTAATGGAAGCCTGGAAACTCAAAGACTTATAGACGCTAGAACCGAAAAAGGCTAAGCTTATTTTTCCTAGTATACTAATCCAGCTTGAGTGAGGTTTCTACCGCACCAATTGGTATCGAAAGTCCAATGACCGAAGACATGAACATGACTTCAATTCAGCGCATCTCTCCAAATCAGAACGAGCTATCACAAGTAACATGTCTAAGACTGCCATCTTATCCGGAAGCCATGACAGAACAGACTATTCGGGTCTCAGAGATGGTCGCACTCTCCAACGGCTACCCTCTCAAAGACAGATACGGAGCATAAAAGAAAAAACAATATGGCCGCACGATCGATAGCTCGAAGAAGTAGCGTTTGTATTCCCTATACAAGCGACGTTATGAGCTCTGAAATAAGGGCGGCGCTGCACAGGTGTGGCCCAAATCACGTGATACGAGGGGTCGAAGTCCCACCGGAAAACCCTAACCGGGGCTGCTTCGAAACCGCAGGTACGATCGAGTTTGCCTGGCGAGGATAAATATATTGGGGAGAAGGGGCGACCCTGTGCGCCAAGGGGGTCAAAGAACACCTGTAGAACTTGGATCGTTCAAGAATGTGAGAACGTGCTCCTGGGTGCTCACGTATCGAGTCCCATGGAGAAGCTGTGTTCGAGATTACAGTTTAAACTCTGATGTGAGAACGCCTCACTTCGGCGCAAAACAGCAAAACACACCTAAAGCATTTTCATCAG